CTCTGGGAGGCAGAGGCGAGAGGGCTGCCCGAGCCCAGGGGTTCGAGGCCAGCCTGGGCAACTTGGCGAGACCTCGTCTCGACAACACGGAGCCGGGCGTGGTGGCGCGCGCCTGTAGTCCCAGCTACCCGGGAGGCCGGGGCGGGGGGATGGCTTGAGCCCCGCAGGTCTAGGCTGCGGTGAGCCGTGTTCGTGCCACAGCACTCCAGCCTAAGCGACAGAGTGAGACGCCGACTCAAAAAGGAAAAAGAAAAAAAAGAAAAAAATCATACACGCGAACGTGGCCTTTGCGTGGTTATCAACACAGCCTAACTGTGGAACTCTAACTCCAGCAGTAATTAATATTCATCCATGGTCACATGAACTCGGGAAAGTCGCCTCTTCAGCCCCTGAAGAGATGGGTTTCTGAAAACATTCCATTTCACCCCTCCCGGCCATCCTCCACCAGCTAGGGTGATTATCTTCAGATAATTACCTCTTTTTCCATTTCATTAGATGAGTGACATACGCACACGGGGCGGGGATTATTTAAACTATATAGAAGGGGTACATTGAAAAACAAAAGGCTGGGCATGGTGGCTCACACCTGTAATCCCAGCACTTTGGGAGGATCACTTGAGCCCAGGGGCTTGAGACCAGCCTGGGCAACATAGCCAGGCCTTGTCGCTACAAAAAGTAAAAAAGATAAGCCAGGTGTGGTGGCACTCACCTGTAATACCAGCTACTTGGGAGGGTAAGGCAGAAGGATTGCCTGCGCCCACGAGGTCGAGGCTGCCATGGGCTGTGCACTCCAGCCTGGGTGACAGAGTGAGACCCCCAACTCAAAATAAATAAAAATTTTAAAAGCCCACTTTCCTTCCTCTGGCTTGAGGCCTATTCCTCAAAGGTTCACTATTTTTTATATTTTCTGCATTTCTTCTACTTTAGCCCTATGAGGCCAAATAACAAGTATATGCTTGTTTCATGATTTACTATATTGTATTTTCTTAAATATTGTGACTTGATTGTCCTCTGCAAACCCACCCCTCTGCACTGTATTGAACCTGTCACCTATTTTATTCTGTCTCCTCGTCCCCCTCCATCATTTTGGGTGTGTGTGTGTGTGTGAGTGTGTGTGTGTTGGAGTCTCACTCTCGCCCAGGCTGGAGTGCAGTGGCATACTCACGACCACTGCAGCCTCGACCTGCTGGGCTTAGATGATCCTTCCGCCTCAGCCTTCCAAATAACGGGAACTACACATGTGTGGTAATTTTTTTTTTGAGTTGGAGTCCCACTCTGTCGCCCAGACTGGAGTGCAGTGGCCGCTCCCGGCCACCACAGCCTCGACCTGCCGGGCTCCGGCGATCCTTCCGCCTCAGCCTTCAGAGTAGCTGGAATTACAGGCGCGCACTACCACGCCCGTCTCATTTTTGATTTATTGTAGAGATGAGGTCTCGCCAAGTTGCCCAGGTGGGTCTCGAACCCGCGGGCTCAGGCAATTCACTCACCTCAGCCTCCCAAAGGCGTGGGATTACAGGCTGAGCCACCGAGCCAGGCGTGTGGTAATTTTTTAATTTACTGTAGAGACGAGGTCTCACCAAGTTGCCCAGGCTGGTCTCAAACCTCTGGGCTCAGGCAATCCTCTCGCCTCCACCTCCCAAAGAGCTGGGATTTCAGGCTTGAGCCACCACATCCAGCCTTCCCCTCCATCATTTTACAAGTGGTTATATTTCATTTATTTTATTGTTTATTGGTAACCTTTGTAATTCTATATGGTATGGCTGCTGCCTCGGTTTCCCAACACCTGTAAGTACATTAGTTGCCCTACCCTACCCTCTACACCCTTCTCCCACCTCACCTCCCATGTTCTGTCTTCTGTAATTATTGTTTTTACATTATCAAGATGTAATAAAACTGAGGTTGTAATAAAACTACATTGCAGGCAACCCCTTTGGGTCCCCTCCCACTGTGAGAGCTTTTCTGTCCTCTTAATAAATCCTGCTTTAAAACAACAACAACAAAACTACATTGCTTTGTGCGTGGACTGTCTGAAAGTGAAGACAAAGCCTGTGTAGACCGGGCATAGTGGCTCACTCCTATAATCCCAGCACTTTGGGAGGCTGAAATGGGAGAATCGATTGAGGCCAGGAGTTTGAGATTAGCCTGGGCAAGTGGGAGGATCAACTGAGGCCAGGAGTTCAAGGCCAACCTAGGCAACAGAGCGAGACTTCGTCTCTATTTTTTTTTTAATGTAATATTAAAGTTATGTAAATACTAATCACTGTGGCTCCATAATAAAGATGTAATGTTATTTCACTAAACCAGCAACATGAGAAGAGTTAACACTCAATGGCGTCTCTAAACACTGCTTTGTGTCATGCCACATTTTTGTTTTCTCTTCTTTTTCTTTTTTCTTTTTTGAGTTGGGTCTCACTCTGTCACTCAGGCTGGGATGCAGTGGCACAATCATGACTCACCACAGGCTTGAACTCCTGGGCTCAAGCGATCCTTCTGCCTCAGCCTTCCAAGAAGCTAGGGCTACAGGTGTGTGCTGACATGCCTGGCCAATTTTTAAAATTTTTGTAGCTGTGAGACCTCACCATGGTGCCCAGGCTGGTCTTGAACTTCTGGGCTCAAGTGATCCTCTCACCTTGGCTTTCCAAAGTGCGGGGATTACAGGTGTGAGTCACCATGCCAGGCTGCTTTCTCTCTCTCTCTTTTTTTTTTTTTTTTCTGAGTTGGAGTCTTACTCTGTC